AGAGATGGGGAGAGGAACTGAGAGAACCCCTGTGATGTAGCCATGGGGGAGGGGGAGCAAGAGAAAGGGTTGCTGGAGCAAGGGGCCGAATACGGTTATGCAGATTAAGCAAGGCCACCTCGCAGAAGATCTTGCAGGAGCAGAGAAGCGGAGCCACCTGGGCAGGCGAGACTGTGTCTGCAACCGAGGGAGAGCGTGGGTAGAGAGCCCCAGCGTGCGCGTGCAGCCTGGGATGCTCACGCCGCAGCTGGACTGTTGAGGACGGGCGCCGGCCTTCTCGGGACAGGGGCCGCATGCTCTTTCCCAGCCGGATCCTCAACTGTCTTTCCTCTGCCTTGGCGGCTTCCTATCGTACCAGACCATGTGCGACGGCGCCTTTATTTGGTCTCAGACCCGGGGCTGGGCACATGCGCTCTACCTCGGGCTGCGGCGGGGAAGCAGGAGCGCGGGTTGGCGGTGGAGGAGCAGGACTCAAAGGTGGGTGAACACAAAGGCTGCCCAGTTTCGACAGGCAGCAAAAAGGGGCGGGAAATATGGAGAGGACTGAAAAGGGAATCCATCAAGGCCAGAGAAAGAGACAAAGGCACGCAGGCCTCGCGTTCCTTCCAGCCTGCTCCGGCCAGCTTGGCCACCAGTGCCCGGCTCACGTGCCATCAGAGGTGGTGGCTCTCCCAAGCCCCTCTTCATTGTGTGGGTAGTTGTAGCTCGCTTGGGCGAGGGGGTGAGGAGAGGGAACTGCAAAATGAACTAGAACGCAGCCTAAGGACTTAAGACACGGGTCTCCAGCCCCGGAAGCCAGTGGTTGGAAAGGAGGCTTACCCCATAACATCCCCCATCTTCGTTGCTGGAAACAATCGACTTTTTCTCAAGCTTATAGAAAACGCCGTAAAAGCACAGCAAAAAGCCCTCCTAACCACACGGTCATTCCTAAGCCCCTCTTATATAGAAATTTTAGGGCTGTTACTATCTGGAGCTGATAGATTTGGGAGGAGGCACATTTCAAGCAAAAATGGAAAAAGAAAATTCTCTCATCCCCATGCCTCAACGGAAAGGTAGGGAATCAATCTGAATTAAAGACAGATTTCTGTAATGGGTTGAGGGGCGCTCTGAGCTAGGGGCAGGGAAGCATAAATCTCCTCCCTAACCCCTCCATCCTTTATCTGTTCCCCTTTTCTTACAGGCGTGTCAGTAGCTGACAGGTCTCCTGCTCGGGAGAAAAGAGAGGAGTGCTCTCTCCTCCCGCCCTGGCCTCCTCCTGGTTCCCCACCTCTCGCCACTCAGGATTCTGCCTGTCCCTTTCCTTTTTTTGTGTCTGAGATGTAATTAATGGTCTAAAATATTGAGGCTCAACTTCAAACGGTTTTATGCACCTTTTTCGTCCCTGCCTTCTCCCTCACTCGTCAATAGCTCGAAGCAAATTTGGAGCAATTAGGGACCCCGAGTTTTCTAAAAGCTGCAATTAACGTCGAAATTTCCGCTGATTATAGACTTCGAGCACAGAGCAGGGGGAAAGGAGGAGGGGGGGTCAGATCTCGGCTCAACGAAAGCAGCAGACAGAAAACTCGATTTCAGCTGAGACTCCCGGCTCCCCACACCGCGCCCAACCCTGACCCCCCGACGTCCCACGGAGCAAAGAAACCACACACAATACAACAAAAGCAACATTCTTGCCGCCCCTTCCTCTCCCGCAGCGAAGCCCTCAAGGATCGCTACCATCCACGACCCTGCGTGGTTCCCACTCTCCAGCGCCTCCAAATCACCTAGCATCCCTGTCAGTCGAATGACCTCTGGCCCGGACCGGGTCAGGGCCCCATTTCTTTCCAGCCTCCATCATCTCTGCGCTCCCCCTTCCTTTTCCGCCTCCTCATGTCCCAGTGTCCCCGTCTTCCTTGCAGTCGATTTGATAGGAAACTGGGGCAGGACCTACTTGTGGGGCGCAGGTTGGTAGTATTGGGATCCGCTCCCGCGTTCGAGGAGGTTGCGGACGAAGAAGGGGTCGAAGACGCCATCAGCTCGGTCGTCCCGGGGCCTCTACTGTCTGGGGTTCTCAGCTAGTCAGGCGCAGGAACAGGCTGTAAAGAGAAGCGATAGCTGTGCGGGGAGGGCTTCCGGGGTCCGGCGTGCGGAAGCTACTGAGTGACCCGAAGCGCAGACGCTGCTCCTGAAGTCCGGGCTCGGGAGAAAGAGGCGGGAGGAAGGGCACCTAGCTCGCTGGGTCGGGGTGCGCGGCGGGGGGTGGGGGAGTGGAGACGTGCGCGTGAGCTGCGAGACTCCGGCGCCGGCAACGTAGCCCCGGGCGGCTCTCCAGTCAGGCGGAGCAGCGGGGCGACCTGGAGCGCAGCGCTGAGACGAGAGGAGCCCAAGGCCAGTGCAGGACGCAGGGGTGCGGGGGGACTGGGCTAGGAGGGCAAGGGAGGCTCAGTGCGTGATTTCCCAGCCTAGCAGCGACAAGCCCCATTGGGCTCTCAGCAGCCGGCGGGCGGGTAGACGGGGGGGAGGGCGCACTGGGCGGGCACGTCTGGTTCGGTGTCTGGTTCCCGTTGTTGTGTCTGGCTAATTCCTTGGAAAGAAGGAGGCTAACTGCTCTGGAGACCGAGGACTTTGGTGAGACAAGGTGAGAGGAGTAAAGAGTCCAGGTCTTTACAATCTCCATCGGACTTGGCTGGGGAAGAACTACAGTCACCTTGCACTCCAGACAGCCATGAAGCAGCGGGTCGCAACCTCGCTTGCTCCCTCTTGTCCCACCCCGCTTTGAGCCATCTCGAAGCCTGGGACGAGGCTCGGTCCAGGTTTCTGTTTTCCCTCCACCCAACTCTCTGAGGTCCCCGGATTTCTCACCGCACAGACGCGGAAAGGGTGAGGGAGGCGAGGAAGGGGAACGTCACCGGGGAAACGAACTTGCGCCCAGCGCGCGGGAGGCGGCAGACTGGAATTGGTGCGCGGCGCCTTTGATCAGCGCTCGGCGTTGGCGCGATGGCGTCCGAAGGCCCGGGGACGGAGAGAGTGCGGGCGAATCTGGGTAGATCTCAGAATCCGCAGAGTAGCGCCCGGCGTCCACCACTTCCCCACCCTCCCTTGAACCCCACACTTAGCCCGGTGCGCGCACTCGCACAGCAACGCAGACAGCGAGTAGACCGCGTCTTCTGGGGGAAGTAACAGGTTACCACTCCGAGTAGCGCTTTCGGCTGCTGCTGCCCTGGAGCCCTCAGGTGGGACGGACGCTCGCAGCTGGGAAGCCCAGGGGGAAAAATCCCTCTCTATCCACTTCTGCACGAGCCTCAGCCTCTGTGCATCCCCGGGGCGTGAATATCGCTGGTGGGGATAGGATGAGTGCAGAGGGCGGGGGTCTCTGCGCCTCGCACCAGCGTAGGGCCAGGACTGGCGGGCGGGAAGCACTGGGCTGCAGAGGGTAGATGGAGGACGCCCAGGGTGGGGGTTGGCGGAGAAACCGCGGGTGAAGAACCAGCTGAACAGCCGAGGCTGGGCACTGGGAAGTGCGTGAGGCCGCGCGCTTACCCACCTTGGCTGAGCGAAAGCAAGCCGAGCGCTCCTGCCGCTCCTCTGCGCAGCGCCCAGCTATCTGGGTGGGCCGGCCCTACAGGCTTAATTTGCCCGGCGTCACCTCCAGCTGTCGCCTCACTCTCACTAGCCGTCCCGTACGCGAGCGCCGGGAGGAGAAGAGACCGGGAGAGGTGGCTGCTTGGCTTTGGGGGAGGCGGAGGCGGAGTGGGGAGGCGGGCCTCGCTGGGAGGGGGAATCACGAGGCCGCTGCTCGCGGGGGCAGCTTGTCGGCAGAGCGACGGGGCTCCTTTGCAGGTGCCTGACCGCCTCTGGAGCTTTATACGGAGATTATAAATCCAGATCACGGTTTTGCGCCCGGAAAAAAAAAAAAAAAAAAAAGAGGCCCTATGAGTAATCCAGAACGTACTCAACACGCTCTATTTTTTGAAATAGGCAGTGTCGGGTAAGACTAGGGAAAAGATAATTCCTATGAAGAATTCTGCTTCGTTGAGCACTTTTCCATCCCTTTCCTCACCCCACCCCCATATCTTCGAGATGACGAGAACAGTGACTTTGCCTCAATTTCTTTCCCCTCTGTTCCCCCAGGTCTGCGACCCTGCCATGCTTCCTTGAGCGAAAGCTCGCTCTGTGTCCTCGCTGGCTCCCCACTGAGCCAGGATTGTTGTAAAAGCTCCGAGACAGAAATGAGGGGGGACACTCAGACCCTTGGAGGAATCTCCATCTCCTTTTCACTTCAGTTTGCTCTTCCAGCTTGAGGCCTCCCCAAGGTACCTCACTTGAGCGCAGCTACCAATTACCACAGCAGAGAAAAGGATCTCGTTTTCCACCTACTTTGAGCTTCCTTCTAGTGTCCACCTAATGTAAGTAAATCAGGAGGCTTTGGTTAGAAATAAATAATAAAGATTCATTCAAGGGTCTTAGAGTTTACAAACTGGAAACACAACTAGGCAAAACCCAAAGTGTTCCCAAGAAGAAAGATAAGCTGAAGGTTCTTACAGTATAAAATCTTGAAGAGAATCAGTCCTTGCATTCTTAGCCTCTAGGTTGGTCCGCGAAGGTAATCCTCTAGATGAAGGATGGTCTGCATAATGGATGTCCGGTGGTCTGGATACCTGAACATTCTTTCTTTAGTCCTTCGAGAGATAACCAGAGGTTATCTGCAGATTTGATGTGTAGCCAGGCATTGAGGCAAGACTGAAAAGTTAAAAAGTTTAAGTTCCCAGGCTAGTTAAAACAAGAAAAGAATTGTTTCCTCATTCCTCAACCTGCTTGATTTTAGTAAATTAGCAGCTTGACTTTAGTGACTCTATTTTATTTCTTCACTCTATTCCTCACTGTCTTTGGTCCTCTTAATGATGGGGAAAGAAGGAATCCTGATTGATCACATCTGAAGGTTAATAACGTACACGAGCTCTGCTTTACACACGTGGGGAACCCAGGCACAGAAGTGGCCACGGTGGGGTGTGTGTGTGTGTGTGTGTGTACGGAGGGGCCCTTACTTTTTAAGGATTCTCCTTATGCAGTATTTAAGCATATTTAATGAACTGCCGCGTTCAGAAAGCCCCTTACCACCAAATGACGTTACGGAAAAATTTCCACCAGAGGGCGCCAGGCGCTCAGAGACCAGAGGCATTGTGTTAGTCGGGTCTTTCCTGGTGCGCCAGAACCTACACCTGGAGCGGCGGGGTCTGTAACTCTTCAGCCTGTTCAAGCTACCTCTCAGCCACCCCCGTGGCTAAATTTTGTTCTCCTTTTTTCTCTACCTCAGCTTCTTTTACTTTAAGGCAAAACAAAGTTGATTTTTGTGTGTGTCTGGACGACACCGTGTAACAGTGATTCCTTTACTCATTTTTCATTTTTTCCCCTGTTGGGTGCAGCAGGCAAGGGTTATTTATGGACTTGTCTGCGGCCTTGCTAGTCCACCCAAGGCCCGCCCCTTCTCTCTCAATGTCTTATCGCCTTTCACCACGACACAGTGGAAATGCCGAAAATCTTACAAATCATTGGAAATTCCATAAGGGAGTTTCAAGATTCGCCCTGAGGAGATATAGTCCGACAGTTAAGCGGGATCTCGCTGTGAGGTTTGAAATAACCGCGTTGCCCTTGATACTAAAGAAAATACTGTCGCCCTCTCCCCACCTTACAATAAAAATTCGCGTACTTTTTAAGGACACAAAAGCATCCTGAACGGCGGGCCTGGGGTAATCGCAGCTCCAGGCCAGAGCTTGAGGCTGGACACGGTGGGCGAGCCCACTCCGCGCGTGAACGTCCCTTGGAACCGCACACTTCGAAGCTTCTCCGCCACGCTTGAAATGCGCTGTTTACTACGAGGTGAAGCTCAGAATTCTGTTCACTCCCCCTCCTCGAGCCTCCCTAGAAGAGACGATTGCACCAATCAGGGAGCCCGGTGCCAGTGCTAAATCATTCACGACGCGAGGGGCAAGGAGGCAGGCTGGAGGGAGCAACAAATCCCAGTGCCCCTCTGGGTCCGCTGTCCCGGGAAGATAACCGCTCCCCCTCTGTATCCTCGACCTTCTTCCAAGACCCAAGATTTTCGAGAAAGGAAGATTCGTTTACCTTCACCTGTGGCATCAGATTGAGAAATTTACAACCACTCCCTCTTCTGACAGCAGTTTCCAAACCGCTCACCCCTAACGTTTTAGCCAAGAAATTATCTCTTTGGAGAGAACTCTCCTACAAAACTACAAGATTAGGTATCACAAATGAAAACTGAGTAGGTCCAGCTGTGAGGACATTTCTCCCTTTCTCCTTTATGGAGAGGGAGGGGAGAAATGAAGGCTTGTCCTTAACTTAAACATGTGTAATATCCGTAATTAGTTAATTAAACGAATATTTATTAATCACTTACTATGAGACAAGCATTGTTCTCATGGAACTTACACTGTCCCAGCACTTATTTATCCCTGCACTCATGGAGTTGACATTTCAGTTAGGCGGGGGGAGCAACAGACTTGGGGACTTAATAACTTTGATTTATTTTGCAATTCTCTCTCGTTCCACCCAGAATCTTGGTTTCAGCGGAGATGGTAAGGAAGCGAAATAAAAGTCTGGAATTCCATCCAGGTGCAGCACGTCAAGTTCAGAGGGAGGGCCCAGCTTTCAGCACCAAGGACAGCGCCCACGACAAGGATCCGCAAGCCTCCCTTTCTTCCGCTTGTCTTCAGCACTTGGTCAACCCACCCTGCTCGATCCCGCCCGCTTCTCTCCAGGCAGTAACTGCTGTGTGTTTTCCCTTGTTGGTGACAGTGGAAGTGGTGGTGAGGTATTTCACTCCCCTTTGCTCCTCGCCGATTCGAGATCGCAAGGAGGGTGGTTGTGGTCGTCTTTTGGCTTTTCAGAACATTTGGAATATCTATTTTTGTTTGTGTTTTCCACTCTTCTTTTTATCTTTTATTAGTATGGTGGGAAGATGTTTTGGACAATGGGGGTGGAAAAAGATATCCTCTCTAGGGACTCGAACCGGTGG